AAACGAACCAGAATGGAGACTATAGGCATACTTTCAGCGCGGGTTTGAACCCGACTGGCGCAAACGACAGTCAGCACCAGAAACCCACAGCCCGAACAAATGCAATCCATGAACTCAACCCCTAATCACACTAGCAAATGCCTCGCAGTCACACCGGCACTGCATCTTACAACGGCTTCAGGCAACTTTCACAGCCTATACACTGCGAGCTTGAAAACACAAGAAGCAAGAATCCCCTGAATAAACATGACGCGCCCTCGTGACGCTTGAAAGACCAAGAGACTCCTAAACTTAAGCCCAGGACTCATCAACACCGAAACCCTAAACCCCTAAACCCTAAACCCTAAACCCCTAAACCCCTAAACCCCGAAACCCCTCAACCCCAAAACCCCACACCCCGAAAATTCCTAAACCTAAGCTCCTCACCCCCCTAAACCCCTAAACCCTCAACCCTAAGCCCTAGTACCCTGAACTCCAAACCCGTAAACCCCAGATCCACCTTCGACTTATAGTCGGGCAGTAGGAGGTGGTTGAAGCAAGTATGCACCTCAATGGGGTTTAGGGTTTGGGGGTTTAGGGCTGCAGGGTTTAGTTAGGGGCATAAAGAGTCCCTGGACAAGGTTCCAGAATGCTCAGCATGATCCACATCAACAGACTAAATGCGGCTACATGTTTTGTCCGGGCCCCCCTCACAAGGTACTACTGGTGGTACTGTAACACTAATATTATAATAATACTGGGAACATTCATAGTGTATAGTGGTGATGGTGTCAAGCTAATACTCGTACTAGCACTAGCAGCACAAGCATCAGTGGAACTGCACACTGGCACTAGCGCTAGTAGTGGTAATAGCAATAGCAAATCTACTGAGAAAAGGAACAGCAATGACACTAGTCCAGATGGCAATCGTCTTAGAAAACAAGCAAGCACGTATTCGCACATGTACTTATATAGAAATGCTACGGCAGGACGAAACTTGGCCACAGGACCTATAACCTAACATGTGAGGTCCTGGGGCCCCTGTTCCCCTGTAAACTGTAGATTCCATGCATAATCGCCCGAAAGCACCTGCCGGAACTATATAATACAATAGCTTGATTATGGGGAACTGGCTACTCCGCTATACTGGCCACGTACTATCAACCTCCGGCCTCTCTTCTTCTCGGCAGCATATGTGCGTGTTACAGAGAAGATCCACTATTTCCTTCCGGCGATGTAGTATTGGCAGGGGCCGTCGCAATCGTAATGGTAGGAGTGACGGTAATCGTAATTTTATGGTACTAATGCCAGACGGATGAGCTAGCCAGACAGATCCTAAAACACTAGGCAGGATCCTATAGGGCCGGCGACACTTCTGTGGATCCCACACCAATGACTTTTTGCCGTTCTCATGGACGATTTTTCTAATCTAAAGTACAGTTCTGCCTCACGACACCAAATAGTGCAAATTTTGAAAACCCATCCGAATATGAATCAAGGAGATTGTGGAATAGCAGAGAAAGCAACGTCCTCAACCGTAGGTTCTTCGGTTTAGGATTTAAGGCCTTTAGGGTTTGGGGTTTAGGGCACTAAGCTCACTGAAATGTCAAAGCCCTACAGCTCGAACCTTGAAGCTCCGAAACCCTAAACCCGATTGTTCTGTAGAGGTGTTATGACATACTGCGGTCCCGAGAGCAACACCCAAGGTGCACACTCCTAAGGATTCCCCTTCCGCACTCACCACATCCCCAATACGAGCCCCCAGCTCCATACCCTAAACTCTCAAGCCCTACACCCCATACTACGTGGAAGCCCCCGTTCCAAGATCCGGTCCGTCGGCAGCACATCGCTGTCCGGACCTTGCTATGACTGACTTTGGGCATCCGAGTACCCAAGTTGTAGGGTTTAGGGTTTAGGGGTAGGTTCCTGACCATCTAGGATGTAACTCAGTAACCCATTATCCCTAAGGGCCCATGTGCCCAAATAGCATATACTTTGGCCGTAAAGTAGCTCCTACACAGGCACTTTGAGGCCAGTGTATATACTATTTGGGTGAATCTTAATTACACCCCAAAGAACCCTTAAAGGAACCCTTGAAGAGACCTAATAGCAACCCTCAAAAAGAACCCTACGGGGGTACATGGACCATTGGGTATTTAGGCGAGTGGATCCCTGTAGGGGAGGATCCGAGCTCAGCGTTCCAGGTTTGGGGCTTCAGGGTTTAGGGCTTAGAGTTTAGGGTTTGGGGCTTCAGGGCTTAGGGCTTAGAGTTTAGGGTTTGGGGCTTCAGGGTTTAGGGCTTAGAGTTTAGGGTTTAGGGGTTGCTGGGTTTGGGGGTCAAGGTTTATAGCGGTAGGACATACAGTTTGGGGGCTGGGGGCTTAGCGAGTTAGGGCTTAGGGAGGACGACTCTAGATGTTCCGACACAGGCATAATTAATACAGGGGCCCTACTGATTAGGATAGGGTTCTGGGGCATGTTCCACGCAGGAACAGCACCACCTTGTATTTATGCTTCCATATTGGATGGATGACTCCGCCAGCTGCTTGTGGACCTCGTAATGGCGGATTCACTTACAAGTGCTCGCTGAGTCGGTGTTGAGATGTTGATGCGTGGCTGCTCTGCTTCGACTTAGCATGGTTCAAGGAGTGCGTTCATCAATTTCAATTCGTGTCATAAGGTCCTGTGCAGTGATACCTAACCTCTGGCATAGCTATGTGTTGCGATTCTTATGTGGCCACCATATGATGCTTCTGCGACGGCGGCTGCTGCCACTACCAGCGCCATCATCCACAATCAGCTCTGCAACGTTGTATCATGTCGCGCCCAATCCTCTTTCTCGACGCTCGCTGCTGCTGCTACTGCTAGCAATACTGCCTTCATGACAGCGCATCACCGTTCCCGTATCCTGCTCCTGTAATAATTACAAGGTGGGATGTCGGACCAAGCTCCAATCCGCTTGTCTTCGGCAGCTGCTCGTGCTGTCCGTCCCGCGTATCGCGATGGTGCCAACTGGTTGCCACCCAGTATCTGCTTTCCCTGAAACGACAAGCGCTTCCCTGCTCCGACGATGCGTCGGCGCTTGGGGACTGCGTTGCCATGAAGGACTTGAAGAAGCTTCTGTGCATAGAGACTATGGGGTATCAAGGCTGGCAGCGTGCAGAGTATTTCGGCCCCAAATAGCAAGGACGAGCCAGCTGTCAAGGCATGTCAAGGCAGTTTCGAAACAAAAAAGCTGGTCTAGCTGGTTTCTGGGCAGGACCTACCTACCTATACCTACCTACCTGCCTACCTACCTACCTACCTACCTAGGGGGGTGGGTGGGGGGAGATGCGGAGGCCTATGTACGAAATCTGCTTAAAGCTTAATCCTGTTTGTCACATGAATGCCGAGTTTAGGCCCAATCCGCTGCACAGGTTCGACTCACTGCTAGGTTGGCTTTGGGTATGCCTTAACCCCTCGCTGTCTAATGACATGTGTATGGAAATCACAACATATCACCCGAACAACAAAGCTGTCCTAGGTGAAGTTTACCGGCCTAGGATCTGTAGGCTTAACTGCCTTAACACCCTGAATCTCTCCTGCCTGCCCGTGACAGAATGAGCTGCAGTCTGCCTGCCACCATTTCACCCGGGCTACAGGCACCAAAAAATAGAGTTTAATAAGAGCTGTATGTGGCTTTATTTAGCTTCAATGAGGTTCTGTAGGGGTTCTAAAGATTATGGAATGGGTCAGTGCATACCCTCTTCCCTCTAGCGAATAAGTGAACCGATGGATAAACGAGTAGAAGAGCATGTGCAGACACATGTGTATTATATATGTGCATATACACTTGTATGTGTATTCTTCATTATTCTGCATAATAACTAAGCGCACACATACATGTGTGTGTATATATATATATATATCGGTGCGTACATGCACATATTTATATACACTCAGAGCCAAAACAAACATTGCATTTGGGCCACAAAACCTCGGGATTCTTGCTCAGAAATAATTTCATGGGACTTACGGACATACAGCTTGATAGGATTACTGGCGCTGCTAGTGTTCTGGATCTACCAGTAGCTCCAACTGCCTACTACTACTTTGTGGGTTCTGCCTTATGGCTCCGGTAAGCCTAACCTATCGCAATTGATGGACGACATCCTGCATTGCATCACAGATCGATGAAAATGACTTTCTGTCCCTGGTTCGTGTGGATCCATTTGCAATATTTTGGCACATTCCGGCGGCTACAGGTAGCAGTGTGCTTTTTTACTCTGTCAGTCAGAAATCCACTTGAATCCCCCCCCCCCCCCCCCCCCAATTTGGCGATCCAAGTCGAACACATTTCTGAAACCCGCCCCCTCATTCGGCGATCGCGTTCACCACTTATCTTAAGCACCCCCTCAGGTTTCTTAGACCCACCCCTTCATTTGGCGATCCCGAGTCATCATACATCATAAATTATCCAACACAAACACGCCCCCTCGTCAGGCGATCGTCGATCATGCACATACATTCAACCCAGCGCCAGCGCCAGCGCCCGCCAGCCTTCCACCGTGCAGCGCCCGCGCCAATCAATGCCCGCCAGACCTTCCCCCAAAAAGTAGCGCAAGCGCCACAGCACCAGCGCGAACGCCAGCGCCAGCGCCAGCACTACCGGTGGACATGTAATGCGTTCACGAGACAAGGTGTTCGACTTCTGATATCCCACCGTGAATTTGCCGAACGTTGACGCTTCCTTCCCAACCTGCATATGCACGCAGGAGGGGAAGAAAACAAATTTAATAGTGACTTCTGCTCATGTGTCTCTCCTCGTCGTGCCATTCTTCACAGCCGGCCACAGCGGAGGTTTTGAGCGGAGCAACTCACCGAAACCTGCATGCCGCTCTACATGATCCAGAGCCTTGGGATCCTCGACGCAAGAAGCCGGCCGAAACACCATGAAACACCATGCATACCGTGATTCATAGCGCTTGCTGAACTACCCCTTTGCCCTTTTTGACGGTCTTGCGGGCACTTGTGCTCCCTGCCTCGCACCGTATCCTCCAGTTCCGATGCCCGAGCCTGAGACATCTTCGTTGTCCAAGTTCACGGTGCCGACGCTGGACAGTCTAAGACCAGGAGCGGCGCACTCGGACTTTTCCATCCATGTCTCTGCAAGCCTGGACAACACCAGGGGTTCGGTTCGATTGCTTGCGTCAACTACACTGGCAATGTCAAAGGGGGGCCTCGTAGACGGGATCCTCAAGGACAGTTTAGTTTGCAGAGTCATGCTCGTCGACAAGTGTAGGTGGAATGTCAAGGCGTTTGAAACAACTCGCAGGCGTAACTGCATTCAGCCCGGATGGTCCACAGCATGCCCACTGCTTTCCCCGGTGCTGCTTTGAATGCATTCAGACCGCAATCCAATGTCAGCAACTTGACATTATCATACTTTCCCTTGGGCCCTCTCGCAGCAAAGGGGAATTTGTTGTATCTTGGACACCTTCCCAACCCCTTTCAGTGATTTTATTCGAGCGGAGTCATCCCTCCGCTAAGCAGGCCATTACAACGAAAGCTGCACCTATCAGCACTTCTTGCAACTCCGCGTCCACCGCATGATCCAGAGATAAGAACCGTGAAACTGTAATCCAGGCAGGCGATGTATTCTATGCCGATTTAACGGATCCATTCAAGCTATAAGCACGTCTTCGTCGATGTCCATTGTCCACCCATCGCGTTGTGTTCAGACTTAAGTACAGCTGCCGACCCTACAACAAAAAGGCAAGTCAACTTGGCCTGAGTTCCGGACTCCTGCATCATGTGTGCCAGTAAATTTGCTAGTGTGGTAGACCACGAGCGCTTCCCCTTTGAAGTTCTGCGTCTCGAGGATGCCCTGACGTGAGTATGCATATGTGGGTCAACCAAACAAATCGTGAGAACAAAAAGGGACGGAACGATTCCGGGCTCTGCCGGGAGCGGGAGCGCATAGGAGAGCCACGAAAAACGGGCTCTTCAGAAGCTGCTGCCGTGCATGAACTGTGCGGCAACTTCACCTGGGAATTCTCGTTGCAGACAGCAGCGCAAAAGCGGCTGAGGCACAGCCGGCGCATGTGGTTAGTCGAGCAGTCGCTGCAAATGGCAAGATCTCATGGGCTGAAAGCTGTGAAGCCATTGAATGTTGCTGAAGTTCACTTCTCGGACTTTCGATGTAGCTCGCACTGAAAGCGTCGGAACAGAAAGCCTCGTCCTCCCTTTTAGATCTTTGCTCAACATGGGATGCCTCTTCCATGTATAGCTCGATCTTCTTGATCTTTCCATACCTGCCGGCAGTGCACAAGAAGAAAGCAAGACCCATTCGATGCCGCCGTTTGGTAATTCGTGCCATCTCGGGCCCGTGCTGTCCAAACAGCTGCCCAAGAGCAAAGTGCAAGGCCTCGTCACCTGTGCAGACAGATCTGAGGTGCAGCCGAACCACACCCCTACACAACACGTCTACGTTTCCCTCAGGCGTCGACCACCCTGGAAATTCTTCGGCAACTCATTGACAAATACAGCAGAAGAAGAAGTGTCACCTCCAGGCCCGGGCGTTCGGCACTACCGCATGTCTTCAAATGGCTGTAGATGCTGTAGTAGTGGGACTGTGGCACACATTGGGGTCCGGGAGCTGTGCTGGGGTATTAGTGATTTGTCCGCCCTTGTCATGAAACGAACATGAGGACCTGTGAGGAGGCCAGAGTCTGCACACGAGGATGACAAGCTCAGAAACTGAATTCTTCCCCAACGCGAACTCCCGATCATGTCCTTCCCCCCAAAACTGCCTATGGGTCTTCCAACGGCGCTGGCATCAACAAGTATCCCACCACCTCGGCCAGACGTACAGACAAGAATCTCATCAAGAGCACACCTGAGAAGCTCACCAGGATTGGAGGGGTCAACCAGCGCCATAGCCGGGGGCCGCACTGGCTACAGCTTCATCGCAGGGACAGAGTCAAGCAACAGCAAACGTCCCCAACAGTTGCTTCCAGCATGCTAGAAAGCCGCTGTTTTGGACTAAGTCTTGACCGTCTTCCCTTGAATGTCGCTGCTCGCTGCTTGGACTTAGAGGCGCATTTTCAGGATGGGAAAAGACTTGCTTTGGCTTTGTGTTGGTGCTGAGTTTGTTGCATATCGCATGTAGAACAACATCTTGCCGACTTCCCATCTAGCCATCTGTCTATTTGGGCAACCTTTCCGTCTGATCTCTGGGAATGCAGCTGAGAAACTGGCTTTCGATGAAAGGGGAAAGTGCTCAGCGGAATTGCTAGATGGGAAGGGAGGATGAATCTCCCCTAGATGGCCACAAGGCTCTGCGATCCGTGGATGCTCGAAACTGTCACTCTGGCATGCCTTCGTCCCACAGCTCGTTCGACAAGCAAGCAGTTGACTGAACAGCTTTGCCAAGGAGTCGCTCAAGCACGGCTGTCTCCTGAATATGAAACACTAGTACCAAAGGTGCCAGGCTTCAAAAGACTGTACAAATGGAACTCGAACTGCATCACAGCTTGTCGCAGCTCTTGCATGCTCTTCAAAATGGAGCAAGCCAGGATGGTAGGCTTGAGCGAATGCACAGCACAGGTTGGGGCTCGATTGACCTCACTTGCGGCGTGTGTCCACCAACACCTAAGCTTGACAAGGAGCATTGGTCACCCCACCTACACACGCGCCCACACACACACACACACATGTTCTGAATTGTAGTCTGGAGCGCCATGTACTTGCTCTTCTCAAGCTGCGAGATGTGCGAGATGCTGAAACTTTGTGGATTGAACTGCACCACCTGACAGGAGTCGCAGGTTGCACGTGGCACACAAGCCCGCTTCACTTGGACCAGGAGCGATTCCTGTGCTGTGACAGTACAGCTCATGACACCTTGCTCTTTGCAGGCTGGATTCCTCTGTGAGTTACCTTGTGGAGTGAGCAGGTGTGCAACCTTTGGCATTTTTCAGGCCTGAGCTGTGTTTCAAGCACAGTGTGGACTACGGAGAAGGATGGAGAAACTGCTTAGGAGTTGTCATTCTATGCATGGGCAGTTTGGGGTGTCTGCTTGCATCCTTCACTGCTGCTTGCATCAGCATGCTTCAGCTTGGCGACTTACGCGACTTCAGAGTTTCGTTCTGCAAAAGGACTCCACGTCACCGGTCGATCTTCCTCGCAACTTGGAGGCTCGAGCCCGAGCTGCTTTCAGCCCGTTTGGAAAGTGCATACGCAACCGGAAAAACGAACATGGCTTTCAACGAACTTTAGCAACAGCTTGCCACCGCGGCTATTTACTCCGAGGATGATCACGAAGAGCACGACGACGATGCAACACTAAGTCGCTAGCTCTACCCTAAGGTTACGCGTTTGCTGCCGCACTTCATCGTTTCAACGACATAGTCATGCTTGCATCTGCTCTGAATCTTGCTAGAGTTCAATACGGCAAAGATCGTGCACATTGCTTCACCGGGTCTGCATGGGCACTTGGAAAGGCCTTGATGCCAATGCTGCAGGATGTCGCGCCCGCCGGGTTGGTAAGCACCTCGGCGCTTGTACGACTTGAACGAACTTGCAGAGACTGTGATGGTCAATGCTTCTTGAGCTTTCATAAGGTACGGGTGCTAAACTGGAAAGTGAGCATCTACCCTGAAGGCAAATTTCGCTCGTGCCTCACGAGCCTATGCAGCGCCGCGAAGGAAGGCAACCAATGCCAAATCAGTGCGCTTCTCTTCAGGATGTCGATGCCGAAGAATGCATCACAAGCCCTCCCGAGTGATGGAGCGGCTGTCGTCGACAAGTACCAGGTACAGTACCAGGGTAAGTGACAGACTGCTAGCAGCTACACAAAAGGGATGCACGCAAATGCCCAGCAGAGCGTTGCACGCACAATCGAACCCTGATTTTCAGCGTTAGGTTTCGGCCCGGCTTCGGTTGTTGTAGGGCTAGATTGCAGCGGTCTTGTCAGCATTTTCCAGCTGCCTGCCATGCGATGGTTCGATGTGTTTAAAGTTATTCAGTGCTCTCCGTGATAAGGCCAGACAAGTATCAGGCCTGTGTTCGCTTCGAAAACAACAGTCAGTGTGTGTCAGTCAGTCAGTCAGTCAGTCGGTCAGTCAGTCAGTCAGTCAGTCACGGTGTGCGCGTGTGAACTTCCTTAGCACATGGGAAAAGAGGGTCACTCCTACATGGGTCTGCTTTTTCGCACTGCATGGGGATGCAGCACATCACTGGGACTGCATCCAACGAAGCTACCAGTGATGTGGGAAACGAGAGTAGGCCACTCTGGTGTACCTGCACGTGATACTGTATTTAAACAGCATCTAGCAGTGTCGCTGTACCTTGCTTAGCTATCCTCTGTGTGTGTGTTGCATGCACAAGACGATATGCTGATTTGGTTCGAAGAATATGCGGCGAATAATCTTCATCATATTTCCCTTTTCAATCCTGGTGTGGAATCCTCTCAGACTCATCACCACTGGCGAGAGCTCCTTCAAAAGCGTCATGACGTTTGGTGCTGTCAAGAAAGGTCGGACAAGACCTCCAAATAAGCAGGTAAGCAAACAGAAAGCATCAACGTTGTGGTTTGGTTGCGCAGCTGCGATTTGCAGTGTTGCAAGCTCTCCCACTGCATCTCCAAAGCATTCCGGGGTCGATAGGGATCATCAATTATCATCGAACCTAGCTCGAGGCAGTGGACAATACCGAACATCCCGCGGTCCTAACTCACGGATTCGAATGTCTTTGAATAGCAGACCGCGTAGGGAAACTGGGACGAAGTACCCGCCGTCCAACTTGTACTCAGCCCCGTGCTTAACGCAGCGCATCACAAAGAATCCGAATAAAAAACTTTGATGCCGCGAAAGTACAAAGCAAGACCGCCTTCACCATCGTGTGAATACTGAAAACGAAGCCAACCCGGGTTCCCGTCTACGCCACCGTGATGTGAATCAGTATCGCGAAGAAATGCATGTTGACGGCCACTTGCCCCACCAATCAATGCATGTAGTCGTCTGTTGTCAGAATCGGTAGCAGGTTCTTCCAACATGTCAACAATCTGTTTCACGGCAGGAACCAGGTGAGCTATGTTTGGTTTTTTACAACCAAAAGCTAAAGGAAATTAATTCCCTTCCGTGCTGGATAAGGTGCTTCCGCGGAGCTCTTGGAACCAGTTGCTTCCGCAGAACCCTTCCGCATCGTGTTGTCGCTACGTTGCACTACCTTGCCTTCCGCGGGTGCAGTTGTAGTCTTGGCAAGACCCGTTTCAGGAAATCAGAACGGGCGGGTGAATGAAGAAATCCTACTCGCAGCATCTGAAGTTCGATTTTGTGGAAGTTTGTGAATGTACCCGATACACATTCAGACGACCCCCACAACCGACATCCACGTACCGTGCGATGACTTTCCTAGCAGCTTTCCCCCATCAGAGTAGCAAACCGACATTTCCTACCCCAAACATTCACGCACCTGTCGTTTCTTGTCGTTAGCTTGCCGCAATCTCTTATGGACAACTGCGGCGACACTTACGCACGGTGAGCTGCAAAACACTCAATAAGCCTTGACCGGGTTGGGGGTTGCAAGCTTTACAGTCCTGAACGCGTCTGCGTGTTTGATCTTGAGCTTCGTTGCTTGGGAGCTTGCAATGTAAATCCTGTAGCTTACAAACTTAGTTTGTGCTCTACCTGTTCATCTTCAGACCTTCCGCAGCACCTTGGGCAGAGACATAGCTTCAGCAAACCCTTCCGCATCCTTCCGCGCACACAGTCCCAAGCAATTTCAGGATATCCAAGATGAATTATTTCCACGTTTGGTACGCATGCATCTTCCCAAGAAAAAACAGCAGCTCGGGTCAAAAATGACCGGTGGATCAAAACATTTCATAGCGACCTTGACATCACCTCTGCTGACCTCCGCCTGCAACGCCGGTGGTGGTTGTGGAACTGGTGACTGGTGGAAAGGCAAGCTGACATGATGACTCGAAGGACTTCGCATGGAAAGCCGAAGTAGGTGCTCCGACTCTAGGAGGTGGGCGGTATTCTGCACGATTGATGTGCACGATCCGGGGGTGTCATCAGCGCGGTGGGCCGTGATTCTTGCACGTTGCGCCCTCCGTAATTGCGTGGGTGTCCAAGGACTAAGACGGTCGGAAGGAACAGGGGACGTGTGAAAAGCCAGTCAACAACCAACATGCAAACACGAAAACTAACGGACTGAAAAGAAAACATTGTGCATGCCAGTGGTGGTTCTTTGCATGGAGCCCCGAACTAAAGTACAAGTGGTGTGCATGTGCAAGCGGTACAGCAAATTCAGACTGGCAGTGCAAGAACAAGACGCGCAACGAATTCTCAGGCAATTGTTATGGGTGGAAAGCTGCACCAGAATTTTGCGTATTCCAAGGAAAGACGTTCACGAACGAACCAAGGCAGATACCAAGATAGTTTTCCGGAGAAACCGAGTTTCACACCAAGATACTTCTCCAATTTCTCCGGTGACTCTTGTGCCAAGTTCAGCGACAGACTACCGCCCGAGGCTAACCCCAGGCCTCGCACCAAGTCGCAAACCAAGCTACTTCGTTGAGCTGCGTAAAGCCCATCTCAAAGCCGCCAGCCTAGTGCCCGTTTGAAGTTGGCGAACCCAAGCTCTGACGGTGCTTTTGCTGCTACGCACATGCCAGGCACATACTGAGGCACATACCAGAGCATATGCCAAGGCACGAGCCAAGGCACATACCAAGGCACATACCAAGTCACACACACCAAGGCAAGTACCAAGGTGCAAAGCGAAACCCACAATCACATCGTAGGAACATCACATGTCAATATGACAGGTCACAACAAGACAGGCGCAAATCATAAGTAGCGTGTGCTCGAGTTGGAAAGGACGAACAGGCACAGGCACATACCCAGACACGAACCAAGAGTGAATCGAGTGACACGTCTGGATATGCATCCTCCGAGCAGTGATGTCATACTCGAGCCACCATGGAGTTTTGATTGGAACTGCTTCGGCTTCAAGGCCAAGCCGTGGGAAAATCCCTGCTTTGTGGCGCAGGGCCGACCTCCCGTCCCAAAATCGACACGGACGGCGGTGGAGGAAGGTAGAGCAACAACCAGGCGGAAGAAAACAGGAGAAAACAGAAGAACACGAAAAGGAGTCAGGAATACTCATTGTTCATAGTTCATAGGGACTATTGGGTACTTTGTGACTCGGTTCTTGTTTGCCAACAGCTGATGCATAGCAAATACTTTGCACATCTGTGCGGATTAGGAGGAATGCCTTCATCTATTTCCTCCGTTGCCCCGCCGGGATCTAGACGGCGCACCGCTGGGCCCTCCGCCTATTGGACTTTCGTCCACACACTGGAGTGCTATGAATGGTTGCGGGCATCTGGAGAGCGCCGATCAAGGAGGTCGTCCGGGGGACATGTTTGTTGCAAAAAACTACATGTCCCATTTGCTTGGATGTCAAACGAACCAGCAGAGCCAAGCTCATGCTCAGCTTCGTCAGAGCTCTGCCCTCATCAGGTAGAAGCAACAAAAAGAAGTTTAATCAGATAGTACATCGTGTCTTGTCGCAGTTCTGAAAAAAGTGCTGGGGTGTTGTCTTGTTTCTTGAAGAGTTCGATGTGTGCATAGTCGTATGGTGCTCAAGACCTTTTACTCCAGCCAAATCGCAGCCGTGAAAAGAACTGCAGATGATGCTGGCATCCCGTTACCGGGCAAGATCATCCGATGCTCCGTGTATGTGGCCATTGATCGCTTCGCACCTTACGAAGGCCACCTTGGCTTGGATCTCGTCGTGTGGAGCACTGACAATGTTCAACAATTGATACAACTGACTGCTGAACACATGCTGTATCGTGTGGGTGTGGTTGTTCCCCCACCATCCATTCGTCTTCGACAGGGTCTCGAGATTTTTCAAATCTCCAATGTGTGACAGCCCATTTCTGTCCTTAGGACATTGGAGCCAGTTTTCTTCGTACGAGTTGCACCGGATGCAAGAGATTCATATAATCTGAAGGCATTGTCTTCGCTTGATCTTTCTTTCTGTATGTGAACAGTTTTATCAAGCTCAGCAGTGTTGTCACACAATCGCCTTTATGGCTGGTTACCCTGTTCCCAAGGGACATGGCATTGAATTATCATGATTAAATTGATATTTTCAGCAGGGGGCAGTGGCCCACTCAAGAGCTCACTGCCAACAAGCTACTCTTGAGTTGGGAGGGCATGGGGTGCGGGGTGTCGGGGTGTGGGGTGGGTGGGGTGTGTGTAGGGCGTTTGCAACTGTAGTCTGCCCAGATGGGAAGATGTCGCCTGACATGCTGTCTGGGCTTAGGTTGGTCTGATGTAATGCTGTGACCTAGAAGTTCCGGCAGTTCAAGCCTGAGTCGATCCATGAAAATCTCACCTACTGCACACTGTGCCATGGGGCCCATCTGGAAATCGGTGCAGGGCAAATCATCGGATAGCACTGCAAGCGGAAAGCAGCTTGGCGTGGCACCACGGTGAACTGTTTGTATGGTCCCGCGGGGTCCTGCCGTGCAAAGACTATCCAAATTCTGCGGTGTCAAACCCTGGCAACCAAAAACAGTGAGTGCCACCATGCTAGCAGGTGGGCTCGCCGGCGTACCCCAAATGGTGCCTGTCGCAGGGTCCTGCGCACATCGAGGGAGCTCTGGCTGCACGAGTGGGTGCTTGTGGAATTAAAGCAGACTTAGGTGGACATGTGATAGAACACATTAGACACACTAACGCTTGGGCTTCAGAGGCTCTGGCATCTACTTGACCTTTTCACTGAGCTGCGGGCCAGTTGCAAGCCAAGAGGTAACTCGGCCTCGACCACAGCTGCTAAAGTGAACAGGGTGGGGAGGCATGATGCAACTGTCAGTTGCTGTTAAGCTGACTGCCGGGTCGTTCTTCCGTTTTGTTCTGCGGGCTGGGGTGGCCACACCGTCATGCTGAAGGCTGGTTTGCTCCTGGATGCTCCGAATGCCTTTGATTGAGATGCCCTGCTGCAAAACCAGAACAGGATTCACTGCTTTGGTGTGACGCTAAACGAGCGGCTTGCGCGCCACATGCATGCCCCCTTTTTTGGTATTACAATGGCCAATTGCCGCCGCCCCCCGTTGCACTCACCCAATGTTTCCCCATTCTGCCATGCCTCCCCAACCTTCCATGTGCAGTGTGCTACATCCTGCTTCGAGTCAGTCCATGACTTGAAGCGCCACTTCGCAACATAATCAAGGGACGTGCACTGCATTGCCCGAAAAATGGTCAACGCCCGCAACTGGCCCGAATTGTTTGTTGCTAAACTGCGTGGATGCACACCTCATGTCCGCATGTAGGCAGGCAAGGCATGAAGCTAGAGCAGGCAGGTAGGCGGATAGAGTAGCCAGGGACACAACAAGACAGCGCCGACCTGAGGCGGCTGTCACTGCATCCCTTTGCATCCCTTTGCATCTATCTGGATCTGAGATGTTGACCGGCTCGCAGTGGAACCGACCTTGGGGAAAGAGAACTTGCTGCCTTCCTGGGCTCAGTCCTTCAGCATCGGCCTGCAGCAGTTGCTTGCCCTAGAACTGGCCGGACCTTGAAGTCGCGGTGCTTTGATTGAAATGGTACAGACCGCGGTGCAACATCTGCAAGATGTCGGATCTGGTGGCAGGGCGCCTCTCGGTATTGACCAGCAACCATTACGATGCTGTCGCCCGGGTACTTGAACCTTCCCAACTCTGACAGTCTTGGAGTCTTGGAGCTGGTGACTTGGGTCCCAAACCCTGCGTTCATCGTGAGATTGCTCACGCCAGTGTCGTTGCGGTCGGTGTCGGTCCCCGGCACACGGCCATAAAAAGCCTGAGCGAGGAAGCACAGCAAGAAACGGCATTGTAATCATTCGGCTGAAGCTCGCACTGGCTGCGAGAAACCCACGGGCATCGACCTGGGAGCGGCAAGTCTAAGTGACGTCTTTCCACGGTCTTTTGCAAACCTTTCGTGTGATCACTTGCGCTTTTTGATGAAAGCCCTGAAGATCCCTGAAGCCGGCCGAGCACGGTGCCGAGGGTCCACCTGACCGTTGGAGAACTGAGTGCCTCCTGCAGGGGAAGAGTCGTCCAGCGTATCGATTCACACGTTTATCTTAGGTCGAGAGCGAGAGCGAGCGCGAGCAGAGGGGTGAGGGAGGGCCTGAGTTGCCCATGACGGGCACTTGCACCATCTGCAGCATGTACGGGGCCGGCCTCCAAAAAAAAAAGGACTAGCCGGAGCTCTCGGTCTTCAGCTCTCTCTCTTCTCCTCTGGTCCGAACCGCCTTCACTACAATCAGTCCTTTCACTCCTCTGCTCTCCGACTCCCCGGCTCTCTCCGGAAGTTTGACTGCGTGCTGAGCTCCGCTCGCTCCCCAATTCGGCTCTGATGGCTGTGAGTACCTCCCGAGCACTTGACGGGAAGCTCAAGTCTTCGTACCACGCTGTGCTCACATCGCGGGCTTGTCTGGCCTCAGCTTCGTACCAGGAACTGACTCGACGCACATCAACTCTGCAACTCAGGGGCTCGACTGGCTGCCGCGTTGCCCGGAACGGAGACGACGAGGCGTTCCCGGAACGTTGCTAGTCCTACTCCTAGCAGTGCCGCCTTGTGGCTGGAGTAACGAGCGGTGCAACACGCCGCGATGTAGACATCTGGACACAGGGATCGAACAAATGTTCAACCTGAACGTCATGCACAGTATACGCTCGAGCCGAGCACGCACGAATCCTACCGGCATCAACACCATGTCCGACCTCCATGACCTGACTGCAAGATCGGCCTAGTCCCATTCCATTCATGTCTCTGATGTGCACAGCTGTATACACGGCCAATTGCACAAGGCGCAGCATCTCCCTTGCCGGTCCTCCTGTATTTCGCAGTTCATACCGAGCTTGACGTGCCAGCAAGTCTATACAGCCCCCAGCACCATCTCCGTTCCAGCTCTGCTTGGCACCCCAATTGCAAGACTCTGCCAGCTGAGATGAAGGAATGCCATGCAATGGTGGGCCCTTCACAAAACTCGGATTTGCAACCAACATCATCCATCACCAGAAGGCTTCCGGTTGTGGCCAGCATTGACATGTGGAGCAAATCTGCCGAAGCGTCTGCTTCCGTATGGCTGCCATCTATAAAAATCACGTCGCATTTATGTCCCATGTTTTGCGATATGAAGTGAGGAACGGACACGTTTGAAAATCCTTCCACCAACTTGTGCCTGCGCGGAAACGTAGATCGCATGACTCGATGGCATGCTCGGGTGTAAGATTTCGATATCAAGTCAAAGGACACCAGTTGTGCTGTTGGCAAGGCACTTGACAGCATGGCCCACGCAGAATGTCCGCCGTTGAAGCCGACCTCACAAATTTGTCGAACCGCCACAGAAGAAGCTTGCTGAGAAAGCCACCAGGCTTGAGTGATTGATGACGCGCTTTCCATGCGAACGAAGCCGTCGCTGTCAGCTCTTAAACTGTTCAGCATGACCCAAGTAAGAACAACATGCCCCAGAGCCACAGCAGTGCGATCTCCTCGCGGAAGCAGTTTCATCAACCACCGCAGGTCGGTGCTAACCCTAGAAGTGAGGTTGGCTTGGCGCCACTGGCGGGCGTTCGTGAGAAGCGGAATCAAGGCAGTTTCCAGGAAGCCGATGTCACTCAGCGCACGCAGAGAGGCAAGATCCCTGATTGTTTCCAGCCCCTCCTCGACAACGTCGGAGGCCACAGCAGTTCCCAGCTCGCGCACCACTGCCCAAATGTCATCCATTGCCTGCAAGACTTGTCCATTCTTGGAGTTGTTTGAAAGATTGTCGAAAAGAAGTTTTCGAGTGGAGCTCAGCTCAACAGCGAGCATGCCTCGTGGATCTGCCAGATTGGACTGGATGATTGGCGATTCCATACATCCCAAGATGAGGTACCACAGCGAATGTACCATGCTGTGCTTGCGCCTGTCGCATGTACTGACGAGCGGGTCTTCGAGGACAGTACCATGGGGCAAGCGTTCCTAAAAAAACACCCGGAGCTGTGAATGATGATGCACGATGATTCGAGTGACCGTCGCAGAACATGTCGTGTGCCCTCCCCACTGGCCCGCTTGGCTCACCCGGTGCCGTGCGAACCCTGATCCATCAACAGTCAGACTGATGTCCTTCGACCTCTGCATAAAGCCGTTTATAGAGGCACGGCGGGTTGAGTGATAAACATCTTGGTAAATCGCCGCCTGTCAGCACTTTTCAGCTCCCGAAATGAGAAGTTGGTTGGCTGTGCCTAACTTGTTTCAGGTACTTGCCGAAACCGCGCGCAGAACACTACTGACACTTCCCTCCCGGACGTGACTAGTCAGTCCTGAATGGCCCCGGCGGAACCTCCCCACAACGGACGGTAACCCGAAACCATCCTAAACCTATGCTGCCAAAGTAAAGCTATTCTTTCTACAGTGATGGTAACTTTCCGCAGTAGCAGGCGATCTGCCTGGCCTGAAATGTACGCAGCATGAGACCTATCGGCATAGCTCTGTCCTGAAAACCAGCCGATTGATTTTCACAAGCTGCAAGCTGCCTGGCTGCGCTGGGCCACTGTCCCAAAGAAGTGCAACCGAGCTCAGCATGGCACTTAGTATGCACCCACCGGCCCATCGTAGGACTCGGCGCCGAAGGGGTTTACCAACAACGCCGGCCTCAGTACACTAACAGTTCATTTACATCTGCCGTCTTGATTGAGTGGGCCCGAGTCCCGTTTAGTCGATTTCAATCCTGAGCCGTCAGTTGCTCGCTACGGTTTGCACTCCCGAAGCCCCAATATGAGCCCCAACAGATAGTGTCGACAATGCTGCGGCTGAGATCATGCCGCGCGCGCGCGCGCGCGCGTCAGCATGGCCTCTGAGTATCAAACTGACGGACCCGCGGATTGTCGAGAAAGTCGGACAAGCAGTCAGGCCCCACCAAGAGGCAGCTGACATCATCACAATACAGACCAGCCTGCGGCGCCGTAACATCGGGAAGTCGGATGTGACAGGACAGGAGTCTGTGCCCTCGGATGTCCTCGGGCCTCGTTCCGTTCCCAGCGCGACTGTGCTTCTTGCACCAGCGCCGATGCCAATTCCTCCTTCCGCGAACTTCGCAGAGTCGCCAAGACCTCCCATGCCCAGCCGCAAGGAGTGCGCAAGGCGTGTGCCCTGGGCGGCCTCGACGGGAGCCAAGAACTCGAACAAGCCATCGCTGCCCAGAATCAGAAGAGCCTGGCCACTTCCGGCCGGCATCAGACCGTCCCACCCAGAGGCAAGAAGTGAGGCCCTAAAGTGGCGGGCTGCAGCAGTGCATAGCAGTGCTAAGGCTTCCGGACTTGATGCAAACCATGTGATAAGAGGTATTGAAGGTTGAAGAAAGCGCCTACTGTAGACTGCGGGTGAGCGTGCTCTCAAGTCGGGACTTGCAGAAGCAGGCGTTCGTGACCTATCTCCGTTCAATTGCCTTGTCATTCAAGGCGCTAAACCTTACTCGCCGACCTGCACTACATGCCTCGCGGCCGCCTCGCGGGTCTGTGCACGTGGCTTGGTGGTCTTCACTTCTGGCGCTTTACAAGACCCTCCTGCTCCGATTGATCCAGTCTCATTTTGTTGCTGTCTTTGCTGGGCTGTGGTCGTGGGGAAAGATCCTGGCCTGGATCTTGGCAGATCTTGGCCGTGTGAGACATTGAACTCAGCTCAAGATGCACCACCCCTAGCCCGAGCAGGTCGCCGAGATTGACTTTCCAGTGTGGAAGCCAAGTGCGACGCGGAATGTGGTATGTGGTGACCCGCATGCCCACACACACTCTGCTCACCCGAGCACCGGCACCATGCGTGAAACTCGCAGTACGGCTGCACAACATGCCCGCAGCACGAGCTCCTCATCAGACCAAGCTATGGTCCGAGCTTGTCAGGACTGCGGATTCCCAGTACAGAGCTGCAGTTGGCTTGCAACTTATGACGACAACTCAAGATTGCAGCCCAGGTAGAATCAGAAGACCACTGAGAGGCACGAAGAGTAAGAAGCACATAGGATACTAAGGCACATGGGTGCATATAGGGGGCAAAACCCATATCCCCGCCTTGTCATGGCGAGCCATGGAGACGGAGGGCTCGGCAACCACGCCAACGGGCTTCACCTGAAACTTAAGACTTCAAGAGTGCGCCGAAAGGCATTTCACGTCAGGCTCATGCGCCGCTTCGTTCTTACCGCTAGGCCCACTAGGCCTTCTGAATGAAGTTCCCTCCGATCGTCCCTCTCCTTTTGCCAAGTTGCGCAGAGGTCACCAAATGATCTGCTCATGGCCAGTCCATATGACCGTCTTCCATACACGCGGGACATGACGGTGTTCCTGCAACGCCTGGTCGAGAACAGCCTCCTCTTCCGAAAGGACACATGTTCGGCGCAGGTGTACCCAAAGTGAACTCATATCCGCGTTTCTTCTCTTTGTCGAGGGCAGAAATATGAGCCATATGAGTGCTTCTCTCGGCCCACCCTCGCAGGTTCTGCGAGCTCTGGCACGGCACATTCTCTCGACTGTGGCTAATGTGTGCCCTGCGTTGCCATCCAAATTGAAATTGCAGAATTTGTCGAAATGGTGCCCACCTCCACCCTCCTTCCATACTGGAAAGTGTCCAGATACCTTGTGCTAGCCGAAACTGGACTATGTGGTCCGAAACGACGGCAGGGCCACAGCATTCGTCATTTCAGGCTGTTGGGACATTCACTTTGTGCGCTCCAGCGAGGTTGAACCGATCCTCGTCCTCCAGGCTCAACGTAAACTCAGCGGTGAGGGTTGCGATTTGCCGGGTTTCCACACTGACTTTCATCAGACGAAAGGAGAGCTGCACATGGAGATTTTCAAACTTTCAGGACTCGATCTATGTTTGTTTCAGGACATATAGAATCCTAATAGGTCTGGGTCAAAGAGTCACAACAATATCGGATAGCAGAACGACCACTTGTGTCCCCACCGAGACCAGCAATCAATATTCCCGAAAAGTTGTTGCCAGCGTCACATTGCGCGGATCTGCTGAGGCTAGAGCGGGCGCTCCACTTTAATCGAGCCGCCAGCTGCCACGATTCCTCAGGCTTGACTCGCAAGACCTACAAACTCTGCACGCTCTTGTGCTTGCAAGCTGCGCTGCTGCTCCTTGGTGTCGTGTGCTTTGTGCTGACGACTGGTCGTTATGATTCCTTCAGCCTCAATCAAAGACAACAAATATGTTGGAACCCAGTGGTTGCACATCCTCAACGTATGCAGGTCTGGGGGGCAAACGTCAACAATCAAAGCTTGACTGTCTCCACATGATGCGAGGTATGTGCCCTGCCCACAGACTTGCATGCAACAAGCCATAAGATCCGCAACATCCTGTCCAACGGCTCCTCGACCTCGTAGCAAACAGAAGAAAAGCAGGCCTCCTCTGTTAACGAGGCCGTCACAACAGATGCTCCTCCAAAGCTGTGTCGGGTCATCAGTGCCATACTTTGACAAACATTGAGACCAATCGGGTGAAGGAGTAGGGAAGCACATCCCTGAAGGCGTCTCCTGCCTGATGTGGTCAAATCGAAGCCATTTTCCACCGCTGCAGCTTCCAAATCTGCCTGAGGGGCTGAACGCTTTGACACGTCAAAGCTGCATGTCTCAAAGGAAGACCCGACATTCACATCGATGCCTCTGCTTCTGCGAAAGCTTTCTTTATAGAGTCGGTCACGTGATCGGTCTGGATAGCCTCAGGCTCAAATGCAGACTTGCGCTCTGGCTTGCAACACTTCGGCCTTCTCGAGGAGGTCGGGCAAGATCGCACAGAGGTGCGCAGCAACTTGATGGCCGCATTTTCCGTGTCCATCTGCAACTATCAGAGACCAACGACCTGACGATTCCGAGCGCAAGGCATACTGCCCTCATGCTCGCATCTCAGCTTCGGCCTCGATCATCACATCGAGCGACCACGCAATCTGCAGAAAGGAGAATGTCGAAGGTCGAAGGCAGGAAGGCAAAGACATGTCTGTTGGCGGAACAATCTACTTACAGGTGGTTCCTCGACCGCAGCTTGCAACAGCCTATCTGCAAGTCCCGACCTGCAAACCCGCAAGTTGTCGCAAGATACATCAATATATAAGTACGATCATCGCAAGTTGTCAGCATGGCCTTGGTTGATGTTGCCATGTCTTCTCTTCAAACCTGTCAGCGAGACAAAGTTCCGATCCGGGCCTTGTGTGCCTAACCCTGCCGGCCTTGCCTGTGGTTGAAGCCACTTGTACGAAAGTGTTTGCGGGCTGCTCACCGGACACGGCAACTTCAGCTACTTGAAACCTTGGCATCGGCGAGGCGTTCACACTCAGGCCCGTCATGAGCAAGCTCGCTATGCCGTGTCTGCGGCTTTCGGAAAGCCTTCAGCCAGTTTCAAACTAGATCGCCTCGTGTCACTGTCGGCTCCTGATCGACACGAGACGAGACTGCTGCCTCTGACAGCCACGATGACCTAGCAGCGAAAGACACTGGAACCAGCAAACCCGAACGACTAGCTAGCCAATCTCGAAGTTAAATTTTGCTCGCAATGTGCACGTCCCATTGCTGGCCACAGCGGCGGATTCGTTTCCAGACCACACTGCGTCGAAACTTGGAACGCCTTGTCAGAAACTGCTCATGATCGAGCAAACATGAGCGGCGTGAGTTCTAAGAGCACATGGGTTGGCTCGGCCAAGCAGTTCGACAGCAACTGCAATGGACAATTTATGGACGTCCAAACCGCAGAGTTTCATGTCGTTGAAAAAATAAGAAGCCCCTCTCTGCAGCAAGTTCAACCAAGGCTCAGGATGTGCACGCGTGCGACTTTGAATTGCTTTCGACCGGGACAGCACAATGGATGCCACAACTTGGATGTCAGCTGAGTACTGCCACTGTCAACTGTGATGTTACCTCCTATAGTCGCACATCTGCAAGATGCAAGCCATGCCAGCCGAGCTTCGACAGCTTCTGCAGATAGAGCATCCGGTACGCTTGACGGGTCTCGGTTTATGGCACAACGTCTGACCATTGCACGCATCGGGCCAGGCAGTGAGTGCCGTTGGAGACACGGCCCATGGCTGCAGACAGTGCATTAGGTTCTGAAGCAAAGTAACAGACTGCCTTTGCTGCAGATCTGCAAACTTTGGGGGCCTTGCTTGTGCCTTGATTTTGTCACTATCACGACATGAGGCCTTCGCCTAAGACATTATGCACAGGTATCGTGGAGCAGCTACCTCAGTCAATCCATCTTGTGGAGATTCTCTCTTGCAGCTACTCCTGCCGAGAATTCAAGTACGGCTCGTATGCGGGTCTCATCAGAAAACGAATTCATGCCATCCGTGAAGTTCACATCAAGGTCGAAAAGGCGCTCACGGCGGTCGAAGCATCTTTCGCAGGGATGTTTGTTGTCCGAGATGCATTGCCGGCTCTGACTGAGAACAGCCTTCAAACATCCTGCAGGTTGCCGCGCTCGCTAGGCTCGCTCTCTCTCTCTTTCTTTCTTTCCACAGGGTTGTGGTGGGGAGGCTCTCTCTCTCTCTCTCTATCTCTCTCCATGTCTCTCTACTAGGGCAGAAGAGGCAGGCAAGGAACCCACCCCTCCGCGCGTGCACGCGCACCTGCATGTCCAAGCAGGCTTTGAACTCCAATTGCCCCCCCATTGGCTTGGCTATACAACAGGATCCAATAGATTCCCCCCGGCCAGAGTACAGCGAAAGAAAAAAAAAACAACATTCGACCATTGCAAGATATTGCAAGCACTGAGAGCCTTGCTTGCTCGCTTCAGAGTAAAGGCGCTCGCGCGCCCTCCCCCGAGGGGGCTCTGTCCGTCCGGCGTCCAGCGCCACAAGTCAGCGTCAAACACCTTTAACCCTAACCTGAACGCCTATCCCCGCCTCTCACCGCCAAACCGAACCTCGCGCACTCACTGCTTGCACCTACCTGCCTGCCTGGGTCATCCCCGAAGCACTGAGAGCCTTTCTATCGCTCTCTCTTCCTCCAGACTCTTTTGGCAACACGTACTCTCTCTCTACCAATTTCTACTGGTAACAGTTTCCGTCTTGCAAACCTAGGAGCAACTGTGTCCTCCATCGGACGCTCTTCGTCTTGCTTCCGCCGCCTTGAGACCGTGGCTGCTCAATGTAAGGAAATAGCGACTGTTTGCAGGGCACAGAGCTAGGACCGAACATCGCGCTTTCATTCGATCATGCTGTGCAATAGCAATACCGCAATGCCCTCGTTCTCGACATGTTAGCTAACGGTGGTTCTACCCTCAGACATTGGCGAGCCTCCTCATCTCGCCACCTTCAGTGTCAGCCCGCTCTGATCGCGAGGTTGAACCCAGCACTTTCGATTCCACCTGAACGGCAATTGCAATTCGCCAAGGCTTGTTCACGAACTCGATTGAACCGGCCTGGTCACTGATTTCGTTGATTTTGGTATCAACTTTCAGGACGAAGGACCGCAGGATGCTGTTTCCAGTGAACCTTCACAAACGGTACGTTTGCCATGCCACCGCTCTTCTCAGATTGTAATTAGGGTCGACGAGCCTGTAGTTCAAGAAATCGAGGAAAAACATGATCTCGACAAGGCCACCAATCCAAGACTGGATGTCGGAGTAGCGAGGCATGTTGATCTGTCGGACAAGTATCAACACTGGAATCCGTGCAAGGAGTCATGCACGGCATGTATTTGCAATCTTGCTGGCAATACCTTCTTGTAGATCCAGTTCAGCGCATAGAAAACACGGTATCCCCCAAGCATGACCACGTACAGGCTTGTGCCCCTCAGACGAAGGAGAGAAGATGTGCAAGACATGAAAAAATCCTGCAGTTACGCCGAGAGCAGGACACATCTTTATTCACCCGCTCCCGATAGCAGAAGATATACTGCGGGACCTACAGCGAACGACATCGCTACTCATCAGTACGCATCGCGCCCACGATGGGAGGAGACATGAATCGCACTTTTGACCAATCATGTGCCGTTTTGTATGGCTTACGAGCGCGCACTGCATTCGATCCAAACATCGCAGATGCCTGCACAAGTGTTGATGTTGAATTCGAAGTAAGGCATCCGATGCTTCACTCACGTTGTCAAATTCGTAGCAATAGTGGAATACCTTTACCAGCGAGATGATCATCAGAACCACTATATGAAACTAGCAAGATGGTGAAACTTTTCACAATAAGATGACGATGTTGATAATGACGGTGATGATGATGATGATGATGAGTGTGATGGTGATGGTGATGGTGATGATGATCGTGACGATGCAGAACATGACTATGCCTCATTTCTGATGACGACAAATGAATATGTGCAAGCATATGAAGGTGGCGATGAGGATCATGAGGAAGGTGATTAGATGATGAAAACCAGGAAGCATATGCAGTATGTTGTTGATGATGAACCAGCAGCGATGGCAGCATCAGTCGCAGTTGTGGGCAGAGTGGAAATAAGAAGACAGCGAACACTCAACACCAAACCATGCAGCACAGCGAAAGTCTATGCTCTTTTCTCTCGTGCCTATAGAAGCTCAAGGCCTTCAGTGGCAGCGGCGAACACAGCTATTCCGGAAAGTTCCTAGAATGCATGCATGTGCTCACAGCCCCCGAAAAGTAGAAATTTCCGGAAAAGTCTGTGCCCAGCCCCTGCTTTAGACGCTGTGCACCTTGCTTGCCTTGAGCAAGTGTCTCTGCCTCATCGCTGATCTTGAAACGATGAGTTCGAAGCAAACGGATCATTGGCTCTACGTGTGCGCCCGGAAACTTGGTTAACGAGTCGCCTGGGTTCAGGTTGTGGGGAACCCACCTCACTCGACCACAGCACAGAGTCATGCTCTCCTTGATCACTGCCACCTCGAGGTTGCAACGGCCGCACTCACCTGGTTGATCACCGAGAAGGTGGTCGTAAAGAGACTTCGCGTCGATGACCACGATGCTTCGCGGGTCCACGTACGAAGGGGATTCGGCCGCTATGACCGTGGCTCTGCCTTGCAGTTCGAGGATCTCCTCGTCGGTGCGTTGCCTTTCACGAAGGTCGAAATTGGAAACGCGAAGAGAGGCTCATAAGGCATCTTGCTTCCCCAGAGCCGCAGTCGCCGAGGACATAGACAACGCCTCGCACAGCATGGAAATGAGGCTTTCCTTCTCAGTCTCTTTGACCGCCACATCATGAGGCTCACTGGAGCGCTGTGACCTGCATTCAGGGTTTTGTCCGTGAAGCCGAGAAGGAAGCCGTGCTGGGACCTCTCCTTGCCACTCGTGTCAAAGGCCGAGTCCGCGATGAGGATGTTGCGGACGTCTGCCTCGGGGATGGCGTGAATTCGTAGTTTTACCGGGTGTTGCTTGAGGTGCCGGATGACGTCGTTGGCTTGATACACTGTCTCCACGGTTGGGTCCGGAAAGGAAGAGGCCAGCACGCTGGATGCGGCTGCCGCATCCGGTCGACACTCCCGTGACACCCAGGAGAGCGCCGCAATAGCGCCCCTCAGCTGCGTCTGCTCGGACTCGTTGAGCACCACCGACGCTGCATCCTTCTTAAGCACCTTGCGGGACAGCACAATTGGGGACAGTCGGGTGTACACGTACTGCTCCATGTGCAACTCAAAGGAGTAGTCGGGCAGCTGCTTTAGGCTCCGGCCCGCATACATCGTCTCCGTCTCCTGCACATTGATGGACTTGCCGAACTTGATTGTCTTCTCCAGCTCGGACACGCACTCACGATGACGATCATCGCCACACTCAACCACATCGTCCACTTCCACCACCAAAGCTCCTCGCGTAGCAGAAGTTGGCTCGGTGCCCGGCAACATGAGTACACATGGTTCAAAGGGGCAAATCTTGTAGCCGAGCTTGGTCGTGCGCTGAAGGAAGGTGGAGCGCCACCAAGCGGGGCCACTCACCAGGCCGTAGATTTCCGTCAACAGCACCAGCAATTGCCTTGGGTCCAAGCCTGGAAGTGGTTCATCACGTGGTTGAGAGCATGCCAAGGGAGTTTTGCGATCGGTAGGGCGGCTCTGCAAAAACGCAGTTTTTACATCTTTGACAAAAGATGTCCATCTGCGAGATGAGGCGAGTTGTAAGACAGTGTAGATGGCATTGCTTGACGGGGTCGGAGCACTCCGCTCAATCTGGTGTATCTGAGGATCCCTCCATCCTATGACGCACCACCTGCTTTTCGGACTCGACACGTCCGCAGTAAGTTCGAGAGGAGCGAGTTGTCCAGATTCGATTGCCGCCTTCTTCACCTTGTCGATGTCTTTCTGGTTCACGTCCAAGGGCTTATACCGATCAACGAATCTGGATTCCAGAATGTGTTCCGGGTGCTCCCTCAAGACTCCGCCACAGAAAGCACCTTCACCGCCTTATTGTCGAGGAGGGACTGGAACTCCTTGGCCCTGCTGGCTCGGAACACAGCCTTCTCCTTCTCCTCGAGTCGTTGAAACTCCACCTGGCCGAACGAAGTCTCTGTTTGCCTTGGCGACGTACATGCACCGGTCCCGCTCGCAGTAGCTCGCTTCTCCGTCAAGTGCCTGGAACTTCACGTGGGGCTTGGAGGCCTGAAGAAAGGTTCGGCCGCTCGTGGTTTGTCGTATCCATCTCGGTCCGGCTGTTGACCAGCTGCAACCCTTCGGCCTCGGCGTCGTGGTCCATGACGTCCATGTACTCTGACGGGGGAACCTCTTCCTCCGCGGTGGCCAAGTAAGGGTTGCTGGTAGCCGTATTGCCGGTGTCCCGGATGGGTCCGAAGTGCATAGTTCCAGAACTGCCCTCATCGACTCGAATGATCCGAGGGGAGTTCACCGCAGGAGCTTCAGTCACAGCCTGAGTTGAAGCAGCTGGCATCTCGCTAAGATCCTCGCCAAGGGCCGTCGACACATCCATGGAGTCGGTCCCATCTTCTCCATGAGGATGTTCTGGTCCGACTCCTTGTGGTTGTTCTGGTCCATCTCCTTGTGGTCGTTCTGGTCCATCTCCTTGTGGTAGTTCTGGTTCAACTCCTCGTGGTAGTTCTGGTTCACTCGGCTCATAGTCGTCGAAGTCGTCTGGACCACCGTCTGCCGTGAGATCCTGGTAGCCCGGTTGGTTTCCTTCGCGGATCTGCTTGACCAGATCTCGGTGAAGCTCTTTGGCCAGGCCGGCTCCGAGGGTTTCTTCTGAAGACGCAGGCCTCAACTGCTCTGAATTGACTTTCCATAGCCTGCCCCTCATGTTGACCCATCAAGAACCATTCCCCGGGCATGGAGCCACTAAGGCGCCTGGGCCAACCCAACCGAACTTGTTCTCGGTCCTTCGCCACACGTAGACCCACTGTCCCGGCCGTAGTGTGGCGGACTTCTCATCGGACAGCCGAGTCATCCCTTTCTTGGCCCGTTGAACCGCCACCTCATCTGACCGCTTAAGCCAAGCTGTTTGAGCGGGCTTCAGAATTAGTTTAAGTATTTTTTTGTTTTTTTTTTCCGGTATTTTTTTTGTTTTTCTCTGTTTCACGCAAACAGTACCTCATTTGGAAGCTCCACACCCCGGCTGTGCGCTAGCAGCGAGGGTGTGGGTGGGGTGGGGTGAAACACTGAATGTTACACATCCAGGTGCCTATCTGTTTCACGTATCACTTGCATGTTTC